TATTTTTAAGAAATTTTTCCTTTCACCTTTACTATCTGCCATTCTATCTTCAAAGTCTGAAAGTCTATCTTCACTGAGGGGATTTGACTGACCTTATCAAATATGAAAGTTACATTTCTTGATATCTGTGTCTTGCTTTATCTTGGTCTTAACCATCCAGCAGAAAAGGATGAAAATGAAGTATAAAAAGTAAAGCCACATTAATATGCTGAGCTGTAAAAAACTCAAGTCAACAACTTTGGACATTGACAGTCTTACAGAAAACCCACTACTATTATGGACTACTGGACTATATTGGGAGATTCTGCTGAATTCAAGCATCTGCAATATTTAAATGACAATGGAATGCCCATCTCTGACAAAACTAACCAAAAAAGTGGGATAGAAATGAACGACCCTTTTGTATCTGTATACTCAAAATAGTTAGCATAGATATACAGCTCCATTCTCTTAATTCAGTGAATAGAGAGGTTTGTTCTAATAGTGTTTGAGACAGGATATCATGTCTGCATCTTATATAGTGAATAACCACAAAGACAAAAATATGCATTGTATTAATTATTGAAAATGTGCCAGTAATTGGTTGTGAAACTGTCTCATTGATATTTGTTTCTCAATAAAATTATTTTAAAAAATTAAAAAAATATGAAAGTCTATCTTCAGTTTTGTTTAAGTGTTTTTGCCAGGTTTTAATTTAATTCCTGATTTCCTGAATATGTATTTGAATCTGTTTTATGCATTCTAATTCTTCTCTGCATTGTTTGTTCAATGTTTCCATCATTTTTCTATTCTCTTTATTTTTTTATGCCTACTTTAGATGTGCGGAGCATTTCTTTCATGATTGTTGTCATTTCTTTTTTGTTTCTTACCTGAGAGATAATTTCTAATCAGATTTGTTTTATAGCCTGATGTAGTTGTTCTTTACTTCAGTTGCTGTAATTTTTGAAATTTCAGGTGTGTGACTTCCAGGTTCTTCTATGTCCTTGTTTCCTAAGCTTGATCTTGGTGGGCTTGAGATTTAAGCTTGCCATTTGCTCCTTTGTTTAACATTTTTGAACCTCCCAGTGTTCATCCATTCTGAGCAGTGATGGGAGGGGCACAGGGTATAGGCCAGTAAGGCTCCCACGACAGAAGTTGTGGGGTATGCTCACCAAAGCTCCCACTATGAGGGATTCAGCATACATTCCAGCAGGGTGAAGGGGTTAGTCCTAAGCTCAACAAGGCTCTAAGGATGATGGGTGTAGGCCAAAGTTCAGCAAAGCTCCTCAGACTCTGGTGAGGGTATAGCATGACTCACCAGGTGTGCCAGTTGTTCCCCTGCCTTCTGCAATTGTTTTTTCTTTTTAATCATGTCTCTCTAAAAACAGGAAAGTGGACTTCTATAACTGTTTCAGAAATTGGCAAGAATGATGAAATGTGTATGGCAACATGTCTTTTACTCTAATAATATTTTATATTTAAGCATTCATTGTGTTAGTTTTCTTATTGCTAGGACAAAATACCTTTCACCCAAAGTTAAAGGAGGAAAGGGTTATTTTTGGCTTATAGTTCATAGAAGTTTCATTCCATGAAGCCTCTGTGTTGGCTGGCTCCAAGGCCAGGTACATGACAGAGAGGGATCACAGAGGTGAAGAAGTTCATGTCAGGCAGAAGCCAGTAAAAGTAAGCAAGAGACAAGGGACACACCTCTCGGTTCCTTGTATGTTTTCTGTGTTACTTGCCCTCAAGGCAGGTAACACATCCTTAATCCTTGTATTTCACTATGAATCAGTCCTAGTGTCATACACTATAGATCTAGCCACCTGTAACAAGCCCCACATTTGATGGCATGAGGCTTTGGGCGACATCCTTATGCAAGCCATAACATTCATTGTATATTTTGATTTATCCCTTTCTTGTAAAAAAAATGGTTAATGTGACTTCCTTTCACTTCCTTTGTTCCAGACTAAACATGCTAATTTCTTTAAACAATTTTCACATGTCAATATGACTGAAATGTGATTTAATCTTTTCTTCCCAAAGATTCTCGTCTACCCTCCATTTTCTGTTTTGCTTCATGATTCTGTATTTTTCTGAGCTATACAAGCTTGAAGTTGGAGTTTTTCTGAATCCTCTTTCCTCGTCTCCTTCAAAATCTACTTCATTTTCTAGTCTTGTGTGATCTCTCTTTTCATTCATCTTCTATTTCTCATACATGTCACCCTTTACAGAGGCCTTTTTGTCCCATTCCTAATGCTGTTGAAATGGCTCCCAACTTCCATATTTGCTTCTAGACTTCGCCTCTCCCTCTGCCCTGTGAGATATATTCTACCTTATTGCTTTTACACTTATAGAATTCCTCTGCTTAATTTTTTTGATATCTATGAATAAGGGCTGGGGAGATAGCTTGGCAGCCTAAGCACCTGCCTGGCAAGTGCAAACTTCCCTGGTACCACATGCCATGCTAGCCCCAGAACCCCAGGTGTGCTCTGCAGACCACCAAAACCAGGCATGATGTTGCATGCCTATAATCCCAGTGCCGGGGAAGCTGAGACAGGAGGATCACTATGAGTCCATACTGCATAGCGAGACACTGTATGAAATTTTAAAAAATAAAATAAAATAATCCAAATAAATAAATAAAAATTTAAAAAATATATATCTATCAATAAAATCCAAACTCAATAGCTGGCTTTTCCAAACCTTCTATTGCCCACTCCCCCTATTTCCAACTATATTTTCTGTTCTTCTCCTTCATCTCCCATTTCATCCAGCCCAGATGTACTGTTAATTCATGTCTTATAAAGATCTTGTGAATTACGTCCAATTCTGTTAGGTTTTCTTAAATAAAGTGTAGTTCATCTAATGGATTGAACGACAGACATTAATAAGACAACTTAAATTTAAGTTCACTAGTTGTTTTATTTTTGAAAAAATAAGAGTTTCTCCAAGCCTCTATGCCCTTATCCAAAAATCATCTAACTAGAAGATTGCTATCAGGTTTAAATAAGAAGGTATATATTTTTAAAATGCTTAAAACATTGTTCAGGTGATTTGTCTCTCCAATTTCTGCTTCTCAAAGGTTATCCTAAATGACATAATTGGAAAATTTTGTTTGTCTTCATTACTTCTCCATGTGGACCTAGATGTTTCCTTTTTTGAATCACAATAGCATTTTCACTATGCTCTGTGGTATATTATTAGATCCACAGATGGGCCCCTATGTGCATTGCCAAGAGGGCTCTGATTCATAATAGTCAGCTGGGTGAGAAGACCAGGGGCCTGGATAGGAGTGAGGAGATGGATGACTTTCCACATTACCTTAGGTGTTCAGTTATTTGAACACTTAATTCTATGTTTCTGTGAAGAACATAAATAACCAGGAAAGGTCATTGAACCTACATACTTCTCATAACTCTATACTTTATATACTCCATCTTGCTTTAAAATTATTATAAACATCCTACTAACCTGTATTGAAACTGTTTCATCATTATTCTTTTTTCTCATTAAAACGAATAAAAATTAAAAAACAAAAAAATAAAATAAAAATTATAAGGCCTAGGTTCCTGTTAATTTCATCTCTGTATATTCCCTCAATTGAATATAGTCTCTAGTACATTATAGGTGTTCTTTTATATTTAAGAAAAAAATGATAAGCTTTAATTCATGTGTATGAAAATTTTACTCACCTTTCTGTATTTAATTTCTTTGACTAATTGCAACCTTTTAAGAATAAAATGCTGATCAGGTTTCAGGAAGGGTTTGAATCTTACGGTTTAGAGCCTTGAAGCCAGCAGCAAATGCAACAGTAGTGCTATGAGAATTGTGTTAGCAGACATCAGTGAGAAAATTTTCTGTCCTAATCTTGCATTTAAATATTCAATATCATTGTTGTATGGCTGTAGATTTGGGCTTCAATTTATAAAGTATCCATATTTTCATTGTGTCTAGATGAGTAAGCGAATGTCCTTTACCTGGTTCATTGCCTACATTAGTAAAGACATATTGTAGTAAAATAAGGATTATAAATTTTTCACTGACCTATATCTAGAACTCATCTTTTATAATTTTATGATTATTTTTATAGATGGTATATGGATTTCAAAGAAACTAGCTTATAATTTGTTACTTTCTCTAACCCTATCAAAATTTTGTATGAGATCCACAGATGAACTTCTCTGTGCATTGTCAGGACGTAAAGGTGTGCCTCATAATGGACAGCTGAAGGTCTAGGAAGTCAATAGAATGAATGGGTGAGGAAATGGACTTCTTCCCACATTGCTTTATAAGTATTTGATGCCTGACATTGTGTGAGTTGTTGTGAGGAATATAAAATAAATCATGCCTGAGTTCTTCTCTAACATAGAGGATGAGAGTATAAAAAGATAATCATATTACACAGCAGAAATAATACAATGCACTCAGCTCTCATGTGCCAGGCTCTCTGTGCTTCATTAGTATATTTCAATAAAATCAAGCTCTAAATGAGATGAGAGACACATTATTTTCATTTTATAAATTAGAAAACTGGTACTCAAAGTATAAAATTATGAGTATAGTTACATAACTAGTAAGTTATGGATCTGGGACTTAAACTTAGATCATTCTACTTGAATTATAAATGACAGCAGGATTGGCTTTTTTCAGTTTCATATTAATTTGTTTTTATTTATTTATTTATTTTTAAAATAATTTTATTGAGAAACAAATATCAATGAGATAGTTTCACAACCGATTACTGGCACATTTTCAATAATTAATACATTGCATATTGTTGTCTTAGTGGTTATTCATTGTACAAGATGCAGACTTGATATCTTGTCTTGAACACTATTATAACAATCCTCTCTATTCATTGAATTAAGAGAATGGAGCTGTATATCTACCCTAACTATTTTGAGTGTACAGGTATAAAAGGGTCATTCATTTCTATCCCACTTTTTCAGTTAGTTTTGTCAGAGATGGGCATTCCATTGTCATTTAAATATTGTAGATGCTTGAATTCAGCAGAATCTCCCAATATAGTCCAGTAGTCCATAATAGTAGTGGGTTTTCTGTAAGACTGTCAATGTCCAAAGTTGTTGACTTGAGTTTTTTACAGCTCAGCATATTAATGTGGCTTTACTTTTTATACTTCGTTTTCATCCTTTTCTGCTGGATGGTTAAGACCAAGATGAAGCAGGACTTGCATAACAAGAAATGTAACTTTTGTATCTGATAAGATCAGTTAAATCCCCTCAGGATTTAACCTGAAACCCTATACCGCAGTTTGTAGATCCTTTGTGAGTGTCAGTCACGTGAATGAGTCACGGCCATTGCTTGACCAATTTTCTCTCTGTGAAAGCCTGAAAGAATATTTTCTTTACATGTGACTCTCCTCAGGCACTCTCTACATCATCGATCACTTTCCTCTTTGGCCCCATAATCTTCTTGATCAGAAAATTTGGTACACCACTGAGTTACATAATGTTACAGTATAGGTTCTCATATGAACCTATACTCCTGAGTCCTCACTGACCTTGAAAGGCTAGGGCCAAAATGTTGGCTATCCTTGCAGCCCTTCTTTTTCTCTGCTTGTCATTACATACCAAATACTGCCATAGTGTCTCTCAAGTAAATGTTTGTTTTAAAAAAGAATAAAAGGGCAATAAATGAAAACAGGAGACAGGGGAAAAAATGTCACAGAACAGTCCTGCTACAATGCTGTATATGGTTAGAGTTCTTAATTTCGGTGTAAAATTATGCAATTTTTATTCATATTTTTTCAAATTTTTAATTTTTTACAATTTTTGTCTTCATATTCTGCAGGGGCTTAAAATTTAACATATTAATACTTGATGAAAATACCTGTTCCATGTTATGCCTAAGATGTTTGATATTCAGACTGATTGTGAGGTTAAACCCTACTGCATATGTTGTAGGGTAATAATAAGTTTCTCTTCTGGAGGGTTAACAACCTAAGTTTGCAGACCAAAAGACAACAGGATTTGAGCCACAGGTGAGAGTTACAAACTACCATAGGAACTTAGAGAGAGAACGTACTCCAAACATATGTTTTCAGAGACAATTTAAAGTGTTTTTGGTAGAAATTTACCTGAAATATGTATTTTCTTGACATATTTTAAAACATCACTTATTTCAAGTGTATATAATAATGTAATGAGTATTCACAAATCTACTACTCAAAATTGTCATGTTAGTTGTTTATCAAATTAAAAGAACTTTGAAAGAGAAACTTGTAAATATATGTGATGGCTTCATTTTGTTGCTATGAATGCATTGTTCCTCTCCCTTAATATAACTGCAATCCTGATTTAGATATTTGTTCTGAACTTGAACCTTCTGATTCCTTTGCAAAGGAAAAAAGAAAATACTCATAGTGCAATAGTGGCAGCGTTGGTAGCCCTGTTCTCATAACTTTCTGTCATTTGTCCTGTTATATTAGCATATGTTTGCAATACGTAATGGTTACATTTGCCATTGGGAATGGGTGTGTGCATTCAATACATCTAATTCTTTTTTTTTTCCCATCCACTACCCCTTCCCCCCTCCCTGCGCCTTTCAACTCTTGGTCCTTTTACAAGTCATTATCATTTTTTTACCATATAGAAAGTCTAGTTTAAATGTGGTTCAAACTACCCTATAACTTGCTTACTATCTCTTTAGCCTATCTGACAGAAAATCCTTCCACGACTGATTAAAATAATACATGTGTTTCTTGTTGTTGCTGATCAAAAATGTGTACCAGTGATTATGCTGTCTTATACTATGGTGATTGTTGTCTTCATAGTAGTTATTTAGAGGACAAGATGTAGACATGATATCTTGTCTAAACAATATTAGTACAAATCTTTCTTTTCAATGAACTAAGAGAAAGTAGCTGTATGTCTGTCCTAACTATCCTTAAAGTTCTTGCGTATTTAATCACATGCTAATCTAGGTATTAGTATAAAGGTATTTTGTAGATGTGTTTAAAGTACATAATCAGTTCACTTTATTTATGGTAAATTATCCTTTATAATCTGGATGGGCTTAGTTCAGTTAGATAAAAGCTTTTCAAAGCAAAGTTGACACTTCCAGATAAGAAATTCTGTTTTTTGTTTACAATTTTAATTAATACCTGTGATTTACCACCTTCCTTTACTGGTGGCCTGTCATACAGATTTCAGACTTTTTACCCAAGCCTCATATTGTATAAATCTTGTAGTTACCTCTTAATATTTATCTTCTACTAGATTTATTTCCTTGCTAATTTTGAGAGACATACATATTATATTGAAAATTCTGTTAAGGTGTCCCTTCCTTCCTGCCTGCCTGCCTGCCTGCCTGTCTGCCTGTCTGCCTTTGTGCCTACCTTCTTTCCTTCTTTACTTCCCCTCTCTCTCCCTCTTTGTCTTTCCATCTTTAACATTAAGTGTGACATTATTATTATCTAGTAATTCAGATATTATTATTTTGAGTTGTTTGTCTCTTTTCTCACTTTAAGGATATTTTGATCTTTAGAATTTAACAATGAATTGTGCCACACACACTTGCTGAACTGACAGCCTATAAACAGTGACTGTCCTATTTCCATTATGTTAGTAGTATCATACTTTTACTAGAAACTTGTAAATCAGACCAAAAAGTCTCTTTAAAAAAGTACATGAAGTATAAGCACATATGAGTCTGAGTGAGGGCAGAGTAAAGTGTGTAAATTCTTATGAGAAGCTATTTGAAATTTTGTCAGATTCATTGTGTAGTTTCCCAAGAACCTGCTCTGTGCCACTCTACTGCAAAGAAACAGATTATAAATAGATAATGATGACAAAGAATCCAGGTTCTCTGACAGATATTTGGATAGTAGGCTTCAAGGATCTAAAATGGAAGGTAATGACGTTACAACTCAGTCACATAACTAAACATATGGAACACGTTCTATTCAAAGACAGTTTCACATTCTCTAAACAGGCAAAATTTTTAAAAATTGAGTTTTAAAGACTGAGTCAATTTTTATCAGTGACTTATGGATTGTGTAGGATTCTGTTATGAAATAGAAAGTTTTGTGTTGTTGTCTATTTTATAAGTATCTTTCTGGTTTATCTCTTGGATGCTAAGTAACTATGAATTTGATGATTAACTATTATTATTCTTTTATTTTGTTATGGAATTTTCATGTTTCATAAAATAAAAAATATTTCAATTATATATTTAAAAAAGAAAAGTGCTGAAATGAGTAGAAAAGGGTGTGCTTTAATAGCATAAAAGACTGCCAACAACAGAAACAACACATCGGTCTGTTGTTCAACTCAGGTGGATTATGTGACACCAGATATGACTGACTCCATTCTGATTTAACGCGGTCTAGCACAGCAGTGCACTCCCCAACAGTGACCTCTATACATTTTGCTTAACAATTTTAAATAAATTTTAAAGAAAAAGTAGGAGAACTCATGATCAGATGTAAGAATTTGAGAAGTAAATAGCTGATATCTTCTTCTAAGTATGTGACTAAAGTAGTCTCTTCAAGTCGTAATCTCTGGAAGCATAGTATAATGGTTCAGCATCCAGGCTTGGGGACTCATCCCTGTATTGGAAGAGAACTGAGTAGCATGCTGACTTGGCATCTTCTGTTGATTGGAAGAACGACTTCTTCATGGCTTGATAGGTTGCTATCACGTAAGCAAACATCTTTGTAATCATGATACAGATCAAGAAATAGAACTCTTTTAGTCACTCTGAATTGCCTTATTGTGCTGTGTCCCAATTAACCCTGTCACTATCTCCAAAGAAACTACTGTTCTAATGACTTACTTTCATTTATTTCTATTTTTATTACCTAAGGATGCATCCCTATACACAACAGTTTGGTCTTTTCTATTATGTTTGCAATAAATTTCATGTTTTTGAAGTGTTTTAATTTAACATTTCTCTCCTTTTCTATTCCTTGCAGTTTTGTCTGTGGAAAAATCCAGGGCATTTGACTAGTTGAGTTTTCCATAGTCTGAACTATGTGCATTTCGTACTTACAATTCCATATGTTATTTTGTCCTTTGTATTTCCTGAAAATTGATAGCTACAGGATTGATCAACAGCTTTGGTCTCTTTGGCAGGATCAATAGCTCTTTAACATTTTATTTTCAGGATTCTTTTGTTTATTTGAAGACCTCAAAAATTTCCATGGTTTACTTATCAATGTTAACTATATTATAAACTGAAACTGAGATACTTAATATTCATTAACTACTCATTTTAAACTAGCAGTAATAAATCTACTATTAACAGAAATAATATTTTATATAATAACTAATTAATGTTATATATTAACTATAATACATATATTAACTATCATATGTTAAATATAACATAAGTACTATATAAAAATTGGTGAGAACATTGACATTATTTTCCCCTTTTAAATTCACTTTTATGTTTTGATTAATGAAGACAGGTATATTATTGTATCTGATTTTATATTCAATCTATTTTATTTGAAGTATATGAAAAAACCTGGCCTTATATAGACATGTATCTGAAAATATATGTGCCTCACTGATCTGTGGACTGTGCTTTAAGAATTTCTGAGGATCAGCCAAATAGTTCAGTGGGTTAAAGTGCCTACAAGCAGGTGTAGGAGCAAGGAGTTTGATCCCCGGCCCCAACCCTGTGGCACTCTGAGACAGCAATTGTGACTGGGTGTGGTGGTGCATGCCTGTAATCATAGCTCTTAGGAGGCTATAAACAGGCAGATCACTATAAGTCTGATCTAGTAGTAAGACCCTGAACACTCTCTAGACCCTTTCCTTAAAAAAAAAAAGAATTTCTGAGCAACTGTATGATGGAGTTCTGAATTTTTCCATCAAAAGGAACATGATGTTTAGCTGTTGCTGCTATTGTCCAAATGCATGGATTCATTTGATGTTAGACAATAGTGATAGTCTAACATTTCCTTTTAATGTATTGGTTGTGATACTTTTATAAAATTCTGTACTACCTTATTTACTGATTATTCAGTGGTAAATTTAATGTAGAAAAAAGATAAATGATTGA